ATCAGTTGGGTACGTCGTTCGCCGCAAGCGCGGCCTTGGCCGCCCTACTCGCTTCTACAGCAGTGTCCGGTCGCCGTTTCTCCCCCCCTCCCGCCTCTTCCCCGATTCTCCTTCTCTTCGGGCCCGGGGCGGCCGTACTCTCCGTCTCTGCTTCCTCCGCGCGCTGGCGCTGGCGCTTCGCGGATGCTTCCGCCTCCTGTCTGTGCCATTTCCTCATGAACCATGCCGCCCCGTCCTCGATCTTGTCGTACCACGCCTCCTGGTCCTTGGCGCTCTCTTTCCATCTCCCCCCCTCCTTCTCCTCTTTCATGCCAAACGCCACGAGGTCCTCTCCTAGGCGAGACACCCAGTCGCTCTCCTGCCCGCCCCGGTATCCGGTACCTCCCGCCATCGCTCCCAGCAGCATGCGCTTGGGGAGGCGGTTGTCCTCCATGCGTATAACGAAGCCCGCAAGTATGTGTGTATGCGTTCCGATAGAACAAAGAACTCATGACGGGATAATAAGCGCTCCATGTTTGGTGTGCTCCACTGCTCCAGTATGACGTGAAACGCTACCATAAGAGGCAGAGAGATGGCACCCTACCTAGACCGACTTTCTAAGCTCGATTGTTGCACATCCAAGTGAGTGGGAAGAGAGCCCGATACAGATGGGGTCCCTATTTAGTGCCGGTATATGCCCAGAAAATTCACCGGCACCATGCATAGTACGCATATTCCGGACCCACTCTTTTCAAAATACTGACAAAACGAGTTGAAATTCCAATTTCAGTGCGTGCCCGTCGAAAACACCGGCACTATGTTATATCGCTTTGTTTGGCATTAGTCGACCGGTACCCAACAGGGACCCCCCCTCTACGTCAACGGAGAGTCGCCGACAAGATGCTTCCGAAACCACCGTGATGGAAGCTTCGGTTGTGAACAAGTTGTTTTGAAAACCGGTCTGGACCAACATGCACATGGGGTGCCATCTCTCCGCCTCTCGCTTCTTGCGTGCCATATATGTACATGACCGGTCGCCCCGACGGTCTATCTAGTGGGTAACCTCGCAGCCTGCTAAGGGCCAGGTCATGGGTTCGAGTCCTGGCAGAGTGAGTTTTTTCCTCAATAAACCCTGGTCTAGGATGAAAGCGACGCGCTGCAAAGCTTGTTGTTATTGAAACCATAATCGACTTCGTAAGTCGCGAGGGAAGGGATTGTTGTATTCTTTCTCGCGATAAAATACCTCAGGCAGGAACCGCAGGAGGGGGTCCAGCCCCCCCCTCCTATGTGACCCCGGTTGGGTCGTCTAGCTAGAAGAAGTGGAGGATAGGGGGCAGAGGGGCAGACGACAGAGTCCAATGATGAGAGAAAAAATAAGGAAACAGCAGCAGTAGTCTATATATATATGCATATAGATGACATCGCGTGCCAGGTGTGGTCAGGCGCGTGGGATGCACCAAATTGTCTGAGAGGAGTGTACACCCCGCGAACAATGTGACAATCGGTGGTGGATAATGGTTATGCATCACACATGGACACTCCGGGCGCAACAGGAACCAGCAGGCGTGGTGGGGCCGGAAGAGATGTCTCTGATGTAGTCTATTTGTCGTTCTTGCGGAAACAAAATTACAGCTAGTAGAAGTGGAGGATAGGGGCCAGAGGGGCAGACGACATGGGAGAAAAAAAAAAAAAAAACAGCAGCAGTAGTCTAGACAATTTTTTTTGTCTCTCACTTCCCGAAAAATGCCATTTTTATTATTGTGTCGCCGCGCAAAGGCCGGTTCTTGGAGGTTGAACTCTCCCCCTCTCTCCCGGCCTTTAAGCCTACCAAGGAATCCACACGCTTCCTCAAGTAGTAAGAACCAAGCTGATCACATTCCGCTGGTCGCCCAGCTTGGACACAAACCTCCCCATCACGAAGTCTTGTTCTTGTTACTTCTGGATCCCTCTTCACTGTTTCTTCCCCATTCCGTCCCTTGCCCCGGTTGTCTCTCCAATACCCCTTCACCTTCTTCCAACACCGCCGACATCCATGCTGGATCTTGCATGTTCGCCCTCACGTATGCCATGAATGCGTTCGACGACCACCTCCCTTCTTTCTTTATCACCGCCTCCGGTACCCCTTTCGAGGTCAGCCTCGTCGCCCCACCTATCCTTCCCGAATGTAAGGCAAACCCTTCCTTCCGCCCCTACCCCTTTCCCTTCCTTCGACCACATCATCTTTGACACCGCTCTTATCCCCTTCCTCATTTGTTCTGTCGCCTTCCCTCTCTGCCATAACTCCCACTTCCCTTTCCTTTTGTGTACCATCAATGGTGCCGTTGCACTTAATCCTTCACATCCATAAATCCCGAATAGTTCCAACATCAATTCCACCGCAGCGGTGGAGGGCGAATGGAGCGGCTCCATTCGCCCTCCCCCTCTCCCTGACCATCACCGCTCCTTTCCTCCCTTGGTCTCTCTTCGAGCCTCTCATCTGCACTTCTATTTTATTTGCTCTCAACCTCTCCTGTCCTTCCAGCTGCTTATCGCCCTCGAAGAATGCTACGTCCCTCCTGCACAGGCAGTACACTTCGTGGGTTTTTCCATCCTTTTCCGCAAACAACTCTGACGCCCCTCAACATCAGCAGATATGTCAATGCCAATCCGATCCATAGCACTCTTCCCCTTGCACCCTCACCGCCAACACTCTGCTGCATTGCACTCAACATTCCCCATGTCGAAGGTCTCCTCACTCTTGCTTGCGTACCTTTCTCCACGTGCACTCTTTTACTCCCTTGCGCTGCCCCTTTGATGTAAGGGGTTACTCAACGGCAAAGACATGTTCTGAACTGTTGATGATAGAAAATTACCGCCACGAGCTTCCCCATGATCGTCGAATCCCTGTTTCCAAGAATCGTACTACAGTAAGCCATGTACTCCGCCAGCTCCTCCACTATCTCGCCTTCCTCCGACTCCTTCGCAATCCATGGGATCTTCTGCACTCGTTCCCTCCACTTTATCCACATGTTCCAAGCCCCGGTGTAAGTTTTTCTAGTCGACGCTGCAACTCTTCCAAGTGCGTAGCTTCGCGCAATTCTCGGCACACAGCTGCTGCTCCTTCGCCTTCAGCTCCTGCACCTGAAAAACCAGCCCCCAATCGTCTCCAAGGCTCCCATCATCCTCATCAATGCCCCTATCCTCGCCTTCTTCTTCCCCCCCCACACACACTTCTTCATCCACGACACAGCGCTCTCATTGTCCGCCCTCATCATCACCGCCTCTCCTTCCCGCTCCGGCTTATCCCCCCTCGAAACAACCATCACATACGCCGTCATCACCATCGCCATTACTTCTAGTACATTTATGCATGTAAAGTCCCCTTCTCCTTTTTGCCTCGCCCTGATCGTCCTTCCTTGTACCTCCTCCGGCAACTCGTACCTCCAGAACACCCTCGTTTCCATGCGAACTCCCCCCCGATGCCCTCGTTGACGCATCCGAAAACCAGCTCCTCGACGGAACTTGCTTGGCAAAGCTGAACGACGCCGCCGTTATCTTACTGCCCACCTCCCCCACCCCTCCCACTAGATACCACCGCCACCACCCCACCTCTGCCATAAACTCCCATGTCAGCTTCACTAACTTGCGTGCATGCGCCTTCTTCCTATGTCTGCCCCACGCGTCCCCCCCTCCGGCCCGTTCCACCCCATTTAGATGCAGCCCGGCAAGCTGCAGAAGCCTGAGTACGAAGTAACGGCCGGGCCGGATAGCGAAGGCCGCGTGGCGCAGCTTACCTGCCAACACCAATACCTCGCGCACGGTAGCCTGCTTCCTGTGCTCTGGCCATTCCATTATTCTCTCTCTCAAATCCTGCACTTTCTATTCCGGCAATGAGATCGTCCCTGCCTCGGTATCCACCAACCACCCCAACACCACATGTTCCGTCCTCCAGTCTGTCATCTTCTTTGCGGGCGGTAGTGGCTCCTTCTTCTCATCCCTCTCCCCTTATAATACATGGTGGGTGGACGCAAGCCCCTTCGTCAACTCCAGACACCGCTCCCCCTGGTCTTCCCACTGCACTTCCACGCTAATCGCACCATCCACGAAAAACCGCACAAACGCCGGATCATTCTTCCCCCCTCCTACCGCCGGCTGCACCTTGCATTGCGGTGGAATCGGCACTATCGCTTTCCCCGTTGGCGGAGCGATCTTTAAGTGTGCCGCTGCCCGTACCCCGGAATGCGTTACCCGTGCTATGTCTCTCGTCGTCTGTCGGTGTACGTGTTCTATCGCCGACGCCACCAACCCCCACCACCCAGGACTGCCCCGCCATCCGAACTGCAACCGAAGGTCTTCTTCCAGGAATTTCCCTACCACATATCCGAAAGCCGGCGCCCCTGCCGGGTCTACTGGAATTTGGCGAAACGCGCTTTTGACGTCCACTTTTGCAACAAAATCGTCCTCCTTGGATGCCTAGCTTTCAGCCCCAGGAACCGTTATAACGCCTCCTTCATTACAGTCGCGATCCCGCACGCCGGAATTTCTTTTAAAAAAGTGGTGGTATTTACCGGCCGCCCTTCCCCCCCCGTTGCTTCCGCTACTGGTATAGTCAGGTCGTGTATCACCCGAAGTTTCTCTTTCTCCTCCACCACCCCGACCGGGGACACGCGCAAACCTGGATTTTTTTCTGCAACTTCTCTCCTGAACAGCACCGCCCTGCCTGCTTGTACATCCTCCACCACCTTCTGCCAAATCGCTCCGTGCCATTTTTGCGCGTTCGGATGATTTCCGTACGCTATCTCATGCTTCAGGTCTCCCCCCGGTCTTACTGCGATGGGTACCCCCATTTGTGCGATTTTTACCAGCACGTCTACGTGTTCAAAGCTCCCAACACTTCTGGCAATTTTTTTCGCATCCATATGAGGCGCCAACAAACGTCCACCCAGACTTTGCACGACACGTCCGATACCACCTCCGCTAGCATCTATCATCTCTTCCTTCGGGGGGGCGGCACTCAAAAGGGATTCACTCGCTGGTTCAGTTTGTACATTGGGGGGGAAAGGGCACGGGGCGGATACGGGGGCCAAACTCTCAGACAACACGGCCCACGCCATATCGGCCAACACCGTCATCAATTTCAATTGTTTCGGTGACCCGGTTTTCGTTTTCCGTGGCCTCGATAGCGCTGCTCGCCACCTTGTTTTTCTCTCAGCCGCGCCACCCGATGCTGTACCTGCTGCTCCAGACGACACCGACGCCGGCACCGGCCCCGTATCCGCGCCCATGACCCACTCCCCGCTCGCGCCCTCGCCCCATCCTGTAACCTCCCCTGCCCCCGTCGGCCCCGCCTGCCTGCGGAGCCCGCGCTCTCATTTTTTCGCGGCGGGCTCCCCTTCGGCGTCTGCCCCCCCACTCTTCTTGGCGCCGCCGAGCCTGGGGATGATGCCTTCGCCGTTGTTGTTACCGCCGGTGTGCCGGTACCGGCACGCGTAGCCCTTCCGATATTNCCATCCGCTGCCCCCGCCTCCGCTCCGACCGTCCCCTCCCACGCCGAATGCCGGCACCAGCGGTGCCAGCGGCATGAGGAGGTATGTGTGGGTGAACTGCGGCATCGGGATCTCCCCCAACTGCATCCCGCCCGGTATCCCCCCACCCCCGGCTTTCTCCTGTTCCGCCAGCGCCCTCGCAGTTACTGCTGCGGTCCACTCCTCGAGGTCCGTGTTGTATGCCCGCATGAATGCCTCGCGGAACNCCGGTATCCCCCCACCCCCGGCTTTCGCCTGCTCCGCCAGCGCCCTCGCAGTTACTGCTGCGGTCCACTCCTCGAGGTCCGTGTTGAATGCCCGCATGAATGCCTCGCGGAACCGCCACCCCCGTGTCAAGAGCCCGTTCGCCGCGAAGTAGAGCCGAACTGCGGTCGCCATGCCGGCCAGGTGCGCCGTTATCCTAGAAGTCCTAAACCGGGCTTCGCGGTCAGCAGGGTCCAAGATACAAGACGCCAGGTACCCTATAAGCTCGAAAAGGGCCTCCACGCGGCGGTCCAACTCCATGTCCACGTCCATCAGTCCCCCCCCCGTATGTTTTGGTCGAAAAACGCTGCACCTCCAACCTGGCCATGGCCGCGATCTGCGCCGCTCCCTCCCCATCCATCCTGAATTGCCGGGGCCAGCACCTGCAAGTCCTTGTCTGTCCCGAACGGCAACGCTTTCCCATCCCCCCTGATAAACGTCCAGATGGCCACCGCCCTTCCTCCCTCCCGGTACTTTTTCTCCGCCACCGACATCTTGGGGCCGGTCAGTCTCTCCCCGTAATTCGGCGTGCTCCGCAGCAGCCCCCCCCCCTGGTGTTTGCCATCGGGGTTGGGTTTTCGTCGCTTGGCAACGACGTTGTAAAACAAGCCGCCCCCCCCGGTGTTTGCCATCGGGATTGGGTTTTCGTCGCTTGGCAACGACGTTGTAAAACAAGCCAATTCACTTCGTGAACTCGGCAACCAGGTTACCGTTTTTTTTTTTACCTCCGGTGTTTTTTTTGGCGGTAACCATAATG